GACAAATAATAAAGTTAATTTTATGACTCAAGAAAGAATTATAGCTATAAAGTTGAATGCTTCTAATTATTGTCCTATAGATCCAGTTCTTCCACTGTACAAGTCAGGATCAATTGATAAAACTCAAGAACTTTTTAATTCAATACTTATTACTACTGATTTTACTATTTCAAAAATTAGTAATGAGGTTTGTAAACAAAGTTTTTGTAATAATATAGTTAAAAAATCTGAGACAAATTTATTGCTCTCTTTGATATCAACTCAAAATCTATCGAATGATTCTAAATATTTTTCAGATATTATTGAAATAAAGAAAGAGTTATCTAAATCTTTAATTTCTCTATCTTCAGAATTCCTTATTAGGAACGAATCTAATATCGATGTTTTTATTCTTCTTTTACAGCAAAAATTTCAAATATCAAAAGAAAAATTAGAACAATAGCAAGCCAAGATTGCTTTTGAAATATGGGATAACAAAAATTATTGGAAAAAAGTGTGTAAGAGTTTGGATAAGGTCTCTTTCTTAGAATATAAATGAAACTTTGAAGCTAAAATAAAAGTTCTTACTACTCTATACAAAAAAAAACTGAAAAATAAATCAATAGCAATCATTGAATATGTATAATTATTATTTCAAAATAATGTGATCAGAATACTCTAGCTAAAAGTATATCTAGCCATATATTTTGGGTAAGGAGATTTTTGTTCTCTTTTACAATAACTAAGAGAAAAAATTTAAATAAAAAATTAATACTTCAATATCTGAATTATACAAAGAGAGTTTTTGGATCATACAATTTTGATCAAGATACAGTTTTGGGTAAGTGATATATAATATATTTTGAGATGCTTTACAAAGTATAAAGTATTCTAAAAAAGTAGGATACCAAAGTATTGGATATCATAATTCAGTAGGACATCAAAGTATATAATTTAATAAAATATCAAAGTATTATAATTCGATAACCTATTAAAGTATCAGATATTATAATTTGGTAAGATATCAAAGTATTAAAATTTATTGGTCAAGGTTTGGTAAATAATGGAATATGATTAGATATATAATTCAAAAAAAATCAGTAAAACACCAAAGTAAAATTGATACAGACTCTATATAGTAGAGAAATTATACTTTGGTGGATTACCAAGTAGAGATAATATTTTATAAAAATTAGTAAGACATTAAAATAAAATTATTATAGATATATATAAAATAAAATTATGCTTTAGTGGGTTGCCAAGTAGAGATAATATTTTATAAAAATCAGTAGGATATCAAAGTAAAATTATTATAGATATATATAAAATAAAATTATGCTTTGGTAGGTTACTAGGTAAGAATAACTATTCAGTACTTTGTGCTCTATCCTTGAGTAATATAAAAGATAACAATTTAGCACTACATGCCTCAACTCTGGCTTTCATTGAGAAATTAATCAGAAAGCTAGAACACTACATGTGATAACAGATATATGATCTCATCATCATTCAAATGATGATGCAAACGTGAATTGTTTGTTACTTGAATGATAGAATGAATACTAATATATCTCTGACAATGCAAATACGAATTGTTCATTACTCGAATGATGATATAAGCTTAATAGAAGTCAAAATAAGTAGCTATAAAATGAGTAGATAACAATATACCCATAAGTAGGTAACAATTTATTCTCATAAGTAGATAATAACCTAATATAAGCAGGTAGCAGTATATATATATACTGCTACCTACTACTATTCTAAAAACAAAAAAATATTTTTTTTAATATGATACTAGAAATCTTTATGCTATTTAAGTTGACTTCTATAGAAATCTTCATGCTGATATAGCTGATATTTCTCTAGCTCTAAAAAAAGCTATACCAATATACATCTTAACAAATACTACAAAGAAACTAGCCTTATTATATCTACTAACAATATTTTTAATATTTCTACAACATATTTGGAATTTACTAGCAGTAAGCAATAACTCTAAACAGCAATGTTCATTATATATTATTATAAAATAACAAGATATTTTTTGCAATAACTTCCTTTCAGCAACTTGTTATACTACAAATAATGAAACAGCTATTAGTATTTATAATAGTAATTGGCCTAGTTAGTTACAAGCTTCACTAACTATTCTTTCTTTTTTTTGTATCAACTTTCTTTTCAGGTACAAATTTAACTGTCATATCAAATAATACAAATTTACTAAAATTAATTGAAGAAATTCAGAACACTCTATTATACCAACTTAGTTTACTAAAAAAATCTAAACTTCCCTATATACTTCTCACAACTAAAGCAATTATAATCTCTCTAAACCTAATGCTACTACTAGACAAGGATCTTAGATATAGTAACAAACCAGATCATATAATTGAATTAGATATTACTTCTCATAAGTATCTCTATAATTAATATATACCATACTTATTATCTATACTATATATTTACAATACTCATATAATACTTAAGTATTTGCTAAAGATAACAAATAGTACTATTTAGATAAAACAAAACAGAATATAGCAATAGGCTCAAAGATTCAAAGATATCTGTTGGACAAGTATATTAAACTACTTTTTATTTAATGAACAACTACTATTCTTACATACCAATTCATAGTTCTCAAAACTAAAGAACTTCAAAGTGAAAGTAATTACTAGAGAACTCCTAACTCACCTAATACTTTATCAACAGAATCCTTCTAAACATAAAAATTATCTATACGTATGCTGTATATCTTTTCCTAAAACAATAGCATATATGCTTACTTGTTCTTATAACTCTTCATCTATTGATAGACTCTTTACTGATATAATATCAATACTAGCTATGGAAATTAAGTTACCCACTACTAATCTCACTAATTTTATTAGTGCTTTCAAATATCTTCATATTCAAAACAATATTTTAATTAAATTCATTATATCAACAACTCTAGCACTATTTGAATGAGATTATCATAGAATCGAATTTGCTCTATTATTACATTATCTAATTATTTGAACAATATATGAAGAACTTTGGTTACCCTTATAACAAATTACATATACTTTAGCTTTAATAATACCTGCTCCACTTCCAGCAGTCACTTATATTCATACTAATTCAATCTCTACTTTGCAAATTAAATCTAAGATATATCAATATATTAGCAATGGTCAATTATCTATTGACTAGTTATACAAAGACTAAAGGTCTATAGTCTTTCTAGTATAGCTTAGATCGAGAGTAAATTAGCTTTTACCTCTACTTCCCTTATTCTTTTAAATGTATATGTATATATTTATATATTCCTTTATTTGATAATAATAAAGAGTTAGAGGATAGATCTCATATAAAAAAAAAAAAAAAAAATTATTATCA